GAGGGTGGCCTCCACCCCCACGCCTTCCGCGTTGCGAAACCGGAACAAGGTTGCGGAATCCCCGCCGGTATAGGCGGGGTCCAGCCGAACCCACATCGTAACCGTGTACTTGCGGAAGGACGCCCAGCTGAGCATGGGCGGCAGCGCCAGGCGGCCGGGGGACGACACCACGCCCCCGTTGCCGCTCGGTGGGCCGGCCTTGGGCGCGTCGAACCGGAACACCGAGTCCACGCGCACGGTGCCCAGGTGTGCCCGGAGCGCCGAGGCGAACGCCCGGCGCACGCGCATGCTCCTGAGGCCCAGCAGGGCCCCCGCCATCAGAGACAGGGACCTGTGGATGCCGTCTACTCCGGCGCCAAGCCGGCCTGCTCCCAGCTCTAGCAGGAGCTGCAACGGCTCCTCACCGTCGTCCCGTGCTGCTGTAGTCTGACCCTGACGTTCTCCAAGGTCCTCTCTTGCCTCCCCCGGGGCAGGCGTTTCTGGTGTTGCCGTGGTGGCGGTTGCGGCCTGGCTGCCGTCGTTGAGTGCAGCGGCGGTCTCGTCTGCGGCTTGGGGCCGAGGGCTGCCGGACGAGGAGAGGTCGGCGAAACGAGGGGCTAGCCAGCACGCCGCCCTGAGGCACAGGCCGAGATCATCGCCTGGGGAGAAGAGAGTAGAACACAACGGAGAAGAGAGAGAGTGTGTGGGGGGTCAAGACTACTGCCGTGGGATTCTCAATCAGTGCAATAAGCAGATTACACGATCCATCGTTGCAGTTGTAGTTGACAACTGCATGCGCGCCGTTGTTATATTCACCGCTGATTCGAAAAGCTACACTACTGCGGTCGTCACTGTTCGTCTTGTGACCTAGGTTTCATCGCAATCACAGGTTCAGAAATAGCCAAAAACGCGCAAGATGTAGTTTCTAGTAGGAGTAATACATGGGCGAGTACGCCAGTGTTCCACCAGTGATACGGCGGCCCTCAACAGACCGCGTCGGTGTTGTTTCCAATTCTATTTACTGTTATCTCCAAAGACAAGACAACGGGGTTGATATATACATGGTCTGCCGGTTCGTTCAACACAGCAATCAATGTGTGCCAGTAGACAGCAGCAGCAGCAGCAGCAGCAGCAAATGATGGCCGATGTTCTTGCACATAAAAAACCGCTTGCATTAAAAATCGTCGCCTCTTCTTCCCTCCGCTTCAAAGGCGCAGAAACGAAACTTCGGTTGTCACACATGTACGTGACCAAAACAGCGGGCGCTGCACAAATTTACCGGGAACAACGGGGCGCAACAAGCGTTCCTGACACGGGAGCACACTTTCGGACTGGTACGCTGTTATCAGTCCGAAACAAGGTGCCGCAAGAGGCGGAGAGATGGCACCCCCCCCCCGTAGGGACCGATTTTCAAAGCTCTATTGCTCCCCAACCAAGCTTGTACTAACACCAAAAGTGGCGGTTGTAGAAATATCTCGTCGAGGGCTTTCCGAGACGTGTATGGGGCTATATTTCCGTACCCGCCGGTTGTGGAGCAATCGAGCTTCGAAAGCTGGTCTAGAGGGGGGTGCCATCTCTCCGCTCCTTACGGTAATACGCGTCGGTTTCCATGGTCGCATGTTCACATACAGCGGTAAATGAAACCACAAGGAAAGACTGGTATCTGCAATACTTCGATGCATGCTTGCAGTAAATAAGAGATGAGAGTGTTTCCGGCAGCGGAGAGTGCTTTCGCTGGCACGCGATGAGGGCGGCGAGGAGAGTATGTAGGAATGTATCGTATGAGATACGAACACTCAATTTGCCCGTTCGATGTCGCGACCCTCGAGATGGCGGCACCATCCCCACCAGGTGTCTGATGTTGAAGTTGCCATACCGTACACCTAAGCGCCTACAACCCGACGAGAGCGCACTCCTTTGCGGTACATCTAAATGTTAATCAGCTCTATAAAAAAAGTACAATCAGCAGCGAGGCCGCATTCATCCGGCACACGTCTTGCAAACACTCCGCCGTTCGGGTTGCCTAATACAAACGTGACCCATACACAACGGTGCCCAGACAAAGGGTGTGAAAACCAAAGCGTGTGTTGTTGAACTGCCAAAACTCGACCAAAAAAGACACCACCCCCTCGCATGTTCCAAGTACGGCGACCGGTCTTCGGGTTTCGCGGACTGTTCCTCGACAAGCACTTCAAAACATCATTATTTTTGGAGCGAAAATATTTCAGCAGGCATGCAAACCAATCACGCTTCCGACGCCCTTTGGAACCCATCACCAGCAGAGTTACACGTGTTAATGTGTGGTTTCAAGCAGCGAGTCACAACGGTACCAGCCTTCGGTTGCTCTTGCACCCAAGGAGTTTTCACCTGGGGTTACTTGCAGGAAGACGTCTTCGTCTGGAAAGGACGTGGAAAAAAAGCGTTTTCAAGGCAAACCAAGTTTGAACAATGGTAGGTATGAACGACAACCAGCAAATCAGACGTCGACAAATACCCAGTACAGCATTCACCATCCTACTCCGCTTAAGGAGGTCTACCTTATGAAGCCCCGCCAGCAAGGTAGAAGTAAATCTTACGTACATAATCCTCCCAGCTGCTGTTTGCTTCCCAAAAACAATCGAAATTCCGACGCCGCCACCAAGTTTTGCCACAGAGAGAAGAGAGAGAGGTAGTGATTTGCAATACAACGGACAAACGACCTACCATCTGCCGTCCTCGGAGCCCTTGACTCATGAAGGAACCACTCCACCAGGCTGTCCACGACCCCATCCAGGGCCTCGCGCTCCGTTTCCTCCCCTAGCTCCTGGTCAAGAGTCCTCAGAGCTTGAAGCAACGAGGCAGGCATGGAGGATGCCTGCAGAGCTGCTACCAACGAGAGCTCCATCTCTGCACCCATCCCGTGCCCGCCTCCCATGAAGCCAACCCGCCTCTCTTCCACCGTGATATTGACCACTTCTCTCTGTGCAAGGGATCACGATCCCCGCCGATGGCTATGTTGCTACCCGTTGTTGACGACGCTTGCTGTACTTGAAGGCTTGAGGCAGGAAGCGGCAGCTTGGGGGAGACTGTTGAGGGGGTGACGCCGAGGGCAGAAAACAGGTTACGTAGGGGTTCCCAGTTCCCAAGGCAAAAAAAAGAAGAAAAATTGCGGAGAGATTCACACACATCACTCTTGAGCACATGAGCACCATGTGAGTAAGCGCGTGTACTGCTGTAGGCGTGAACCCATTAGGCGGCCCTGTGTTATTTTCGACCCGTCTGAACGCCACACTTGTGATCCTGTAGATGGGCGAGTGTACTTCTCTTTTGGATAGTGGGTGCTTAGCGTCAGAGGTTGCGGAGAAATAAAGATAGACTCAGGATCTGAATCTCATGGCCTGTGCATCCACTCCTTTTGTACACCCTGTACCTGAGATCTCATTTAGCAGCAGACGACAGGACATCCTGGATCAGACGCAAGCCTAGCTTCCGCGATCACTCTTAGGTACCTATTATTACGGGCAGGCAATAACAAGGCGGTGATAATGGGGCATCTCGCATTAGTGCCTTCCCCGATCCTCAGACGCCCGCTGTAGCTCTGATGGTACCACACCCTCCACAAAACAACATGATCTACGGTGACCGTGGTTGACTTATCAAGCAAACATCACAAGCCTACCACAGCACGTGGGTCAGACTCTCCACTGTATTTTTCTAGTGGTGCAGTTTCATGTTGCGCGTATCCCGGCCTTGCTGAGGTAGACCGACCGGCATATTCGTACTGCAAGGTGGAGGGTATTACGCTGCTTGAGACTACCGAGTGCAAACCCCACCTAACCGATGAGTACTCCACAATAGATGGCATAACGAATTACATATATATCAAGGGCAGCGGGCGTAGACACCGCAACGCCAAAACCGCCCGGGATCTCCATGTCGTGCATCTCGTCGTTTGCATCTCCATACTGTCGTCTACTTCGTCCAGAGACCCCAGCCCGTCGTTCTGGTCGTTGGACACGTCTGGGTGGAGAAGAACAGCGCTAAGAGAAAAATGTCACCGCCGTTCGTTGCTAAATAGACACCAGTACTTCGTGAACGCAACAACAACGACGACGACCACACTAACGATGACGGCGCAAGGGGCAAAAAAAGTGTCCATGAAAATCAAACTTACTTCGCTTTGCGCCGTCGTCATCGTCTTCATCGATCGGTGGACTGGAGCCGCCGTCCGCCTCCATGCCCTCCCCCGTTTTTTACCCCCTCTCCCCCATCCCTGAAGCCCCGTCACCCCGCACCCCCGCACCCGCCAATGCCAGTCCTAAAAGCTCCTTCGCTGTCGCTGGGATCTTCGGCGTCAATGAAGCTGTAAGGATTGTCCAATCTCTCCATCGTGATTCAAATTGAATGAACCATGCACGGTTTGCCCCAAGCTACACGTTTCGAGAAGCCAGCTTTGGGTTCTTGTCGACACTTAACTTGCCATGTGTTCCCCCGCCCATCCTTGGCGTGACCAGCACATGTCGGTTACAGGCTGTGTTGCTTACCCACTTCTCGAGGTTGGCCGACTTCCCGAGCCACTTGTACAGAGAGCTGCGCTCGCGGTTTCAGTCTGGAACCCACAGGCTTCCAACATTCTTGAGCCTCTAAGCCGCAAATACCATATTTTCTTGCAACCGCCGCTTTTCGGGACAGACCCCGTTCTTCCTTGTTGTCGACAGCCACAGTGATTCACCTCATTTGCGGGTTGGTTTTTGTGGCAAATCCGAAGTTGACCGCCTGTTCTTGGTGTCATTTTCATGTGTTCCAAATGTCTGAACCCTCAGAGTCAGTCTTTGATGCCATTTTCTCAATCATGGTGCGTGCTACTGTGTATCTACCGTGCACAAATAAATCAACCGTAGACCGACTTCCAAAGATCGAATGCCCCACAATCAAGAGGGTGCGAACACCTGTCGATGCATCATGCAAAGACATGTCTCGATGAGACCTTTCCGAGACCACCCTTTGCGGCATTGAGTGACAACCGGTCGGTCGTGGAGCACAGGCTGGCCATGAAGAAAGCCAGTCTAGAGTGTGTGTGATAATCGCACCTACTTGTGAGGAGGGAAGTAAGTTGGACAGAATCGAAGACGTCGTGTGCGGTTTTCATGACACGACGACCTACGACGCGATATCCCCTCCAAGGTAACGTCCGTCGGTCGTCGAAGCTCCATCAAGGAAGTCAAACACTACTGTACATCGTCGGTTTCAACACTACCATATATGCAGCAAATGTTCTCATACAAAAAGCAGCACAAGCGGGCCTGCGCAACATGGTTTATCCGAGCAGATTTTCGGCGGTTTCGCGGGTGGGGGGATGCGAATGAAAGTTCCACGCACGGATCGGAGACATATAAAGCTTCAGAATGATACACGAAACTCCCCAACATCTCCGTAGATCCGTATCTAGTGCTGAGTACACCTAACAGCCCCCCATACTCGATACAACTTGATACGATCTACTGATTCTGCTCATCTTATCGCGCAACTTGGCCGCAACAACTTCAATCCCAAAATTATATCGTCCATCGTTCCAATTCGAAACAAATCTCCCAATATAACGTTCCCTAAGATAACGTTTTCCTCCAACTTCGTCGATTTTCCAATAGTACTCCCATCATCCGAAATCCGTTGAAAATTCCAATATGAATTTGTTTTCCTTATCCATGTAGTACAAGAAAAGAGTCCA